ATTTCCCTGCTGCTGTGTGAGTCAAAAGTCTTGAGGAAGCACCTGTACCCAATCTTCTTCACTCCGGCCACCAGGCTTTGTCTTCAAGCTTTACTTTACCTGGTCCACTGTGGTGCAACCTCCCTGCCGGCCCCTAGAGGGGCCTTTGTGTGCCAGAGTTCTCAGATTGGACTATATATCCCTGACCATCACAGTAGGGGCTGCTTCCATCTCCCTGCCTGATCTTCCCACTTGCCCACCTGTAGCCTCCTGGGGCTTCTTACACCCCCTGGTGTCTCACTGCTGCAGTGGTGTCATTGGTCTAAGTGGATGTCAGCCTGCTTCTGTGGCCTGTGAGTAGGATACTGTAAGCCGGCACTGAGTTGATGATATGAATGGGTGCTGTCTTGCCAGTGGTGGTCTGGGGATCCGAGGGCACATGCTGCCATCATGGGGTTCCAGCCCAGTGACCATAGTATGTGGGGCTCTCCCAGGAGGATGCAGGCGGTCATCTGGGCTCACTTAATCCCATTGTTCAGGCAGGGCAAGGAGGGGCCCAGGGCAGCTATAAGGACCCAGTTCTCTGGTGAAGGGGGGATGTTTCTTGGGCTGCGCATGCTGGGGATGCAAGGGGAAGAGAGGTGGGGAAACCTTGCACAGGACAGCCTTCCACCCACTTGCAGGGTGTGGCCAATGGGAGCCATATTGAGGTTAAGAGGTACATGGGGCTGGGGAGTTCTTGTGAGGTAAGCAATGGAAAAGGGGACCCGGCCCTATGGTTCAGCATCATCTTGCCCTTACCCTGCTGGCACTGTACCTCCATTCCTGGTTCTCACCTGCTCATGACCCAAAGTGGATCATGGTGGTGGTCCCAGGAAGCAGCCGCTGATCTGTGCTAGCACTGGCCTCTGCTGGAAGGCACGGGGGGGGTGGGGCGGCGGGATAGGACTCCTTCTGAGGACAGAGCCTACTAGCAGAGACCAGGTACTTGCAAAACTACAATGAGCAGGCCTAGGAGGCACCCAGGGATAGCAGCTTGAGCTTTATTAGTGCCCAGCTGAGGTCCTCCCTGTGGCCTCATGAGAGGCTTAAGTGTGTGCAGAGCAGCTGATCTTTAGGCATGTCAGCGCTCCACTTTGGATACCTGTATTCACTGTCAGTCCCAAGAGTGACCATAAGCATGCAGCAGCCTTGCTCAAACAGATCAAGGTCTCTGGCTTGTTTGTGGACCAACATTGTGACTTTGCCCGCCCTGGGCTAGACACACTGAAACTGATAAGTGAAATAGCCACAGGGCATGGCCATGGTCCGGATATTTGCTGTGGTCAACCCCTTCCTATGACGTGAAAACACAGGTGTCAAATGGAGAGTTGCTGGGCATGCTCACAGCTTCCTGTTCACACAGCAATGGCAAACCTGGAGGCTCATAGCTTCCTGTTCATACAGCACATGACATGTCTCAGGGGGAGCTCACAGCTTCCTGTTCACATAGCACATGGCAGGTCTGATGGGATGTGTTTATAGCTTCCTGTTCACACAGCACATGACGGTATCTGAGGGTCAGCTCACAGCTTCCTGTTCACACAGTACATGGCGGGGTCATTTGCTCACAGCTTCCTGTTCACATAGCACATGGCAGGTCTGACGGGATGTGCTTATAGCTTCCTGTTCACACAGCACATGACAGTATCTGAGGGTCAGCTCACAGCTTCCTGTTTACACAGCACATGGCAGGTCTGACGGAGTGTGCTCACCGCTTGTTGTTTACACAGCACACTGCAAGCCTGGATGGTGTGTTCACAGCTTCCTGTTCACATGCCTCATAGCAGGCATTGGATGCCTGCATCACACTTGCGTTGTTCTGTTTTTTGTTGTTGAGAAACGGGGTGTTCCCTGGCAACCAATCTCCAGTGGCACACCTACAGCCTGCCTTTGAGGTCATGGTTTTATGCCCTGTGCCCTTGTCGTGACCAGGGATTTCTAGGAGGTGGCATCTCTCTTTTGCCTCCACTCTGGGGTGAAGGTGGGTGGCTTGGACATGTCCTTGCCCCTCCCTGCATGCCTAGTGTGCTGCCCCTCTTCAGCAGTGCAGGCCCTGCCTCCTGCCTTGTCAATCTCTCCATGTCTGTCCAGAACCAATCTCCAGGCATTCCCCAGGCACAGAGATATGCATGCAGGCCTCATTCTCATTTTCTCATTTCTCTTGGAATCCCATTTCTTTTTTTTTTCCTTTCTAGATGTTTACATATTTCTTTTTATGGGGGGAGGGGACCATTTCATCACTTTTTTTTTTATTACATTGCATTATGTGACACAGTTGTAGGCACTGGGATTGTCCACTAATTGCATAATGTTGTGGATTGTTGCTGATGTTATGTTGGGGCTTTTGATTGGTCGGGATGACACTCTGCTGGCTCTACCTTCAGACCAGAGATGGTCTCCACAAGAAGCCGTTGAACTTATCTGGACAATAAGATGCTGGACTCTATGCTTGGTATATGCTTGCAATGAAAGAACCCCAACTGAACTGGAACTGTGGCAATGCAGCAAGGTGGAGGAATCCACCATGGGGGGAGGGTTGGGGGGAATCCCATTTCTTACTACCCTGCCTTGAGTCAGAATGCTTGTATTGGGAGCAGAGAGCAGCTGACAGCCCCATGCGTTGTTTGAAGACTGGGCTACCTGCCCTCTGGTATGGGGGAAGCTTGGAGATTTTGGGGTTGGGAGAGCACACGGCTGCAGACTACCTGGCCCTGCTGCAGTGGCCTGAGTGGATCTGGTGGATAAACTGGGCTCGTGTAGTGAGAGGACCGTGGCTGTGTTGCACAGCCAGTGCTGGAGAGCCCCATGACCTGGGCCTACTTTGCCTATATTCTGCTGCCATCCAGGCCCTGATCCTTCCACGGTTCTTTGCTACTATGTCTCATTTCTTGTCATGGCCACTTGGCCACCACCTCTCTCTCCATCCCTGTTTTTGGGTCTCCCTTATTCTCTGCCTCTACTTATTCCATATCCTGTAGCCCTCAAGAGAGGCAGAGCATTGTGGGCCTGGATGCAGGGCCTTCCCTGGGTCCCAACAGGGCAGACTCCATATGTCTATGAGGTGCCAGTTCCCAGGTTCTCTCAGACACCCATGTGTGCAGGTTCTTTCTTGTTTGCACTTGACAGGGGCAGGAGCCAGCGCTTAGGCCACACAGGGTTTGCTGAGGCCTTGCTGGGGCTTCTGTTGGAGCTCAGGGGAAGAGCACCATGGAGAGGTCTCTAGAGCGGTGTCCATGGGAGCTGAGCTGGGCTTTCTGTCAAGTGGAGCTTCTGGCTACACCCTTTCAGGCTCTGGTTCATCCTGCTTGATGCATGCCAATCCCTTTTGCTCCTGGCCTGGTGTTCATGCAGGCTCTGTCCTCCCTGTGCACATGGCACGCTAAACATGGTGGGTTGCTCACCACGGTCTGGGAAGATCACACAGGGTCATGTGTTGGCCATGCTGGGCCATTCTAACTCTAAGTTTGGATTGGGGATAACTCTTGGGGTCTGAGTTGAGAATATTCTTGCCCTGCCTTACCTGGGTGCTGGGGGTGCTGGTGCCTGTTTTACTTGGTTCTGTTTCTGCCATAGTGTTCAGCCCCATTCTCCATGCCGCTTGTTCTTCCTCCAGTTTTGTCTCCCCTTGCCCAAGAAGTAATGCTCCTCCTGCCACCAGTGTTGTCCTCAGCTGTGGCCAGGTCCCAAGCTGCATCCTGTGAGGCCACAGGCAGGGTGAGGTGTGCAGTGTGTGGTTGTGCCCGGCTCCTCTGCCTCTGTCTTGTAAATGCAGTGCAAGTGTGCCTGACTGGGTAGGAATCCTGCTGTCCTGGGACCTCTGCTGGATGGAGGACAGTTGTGGGGCCCCTCATGCCCTGGAGACCTTTGTACTGTCTGTTCCTGGGCCTTTTGCCCTGGGCCACAACCTGTCCCAGAGCTCCTGCCTCACAGCTTGCTCTCATGTTGTGCCATGTTTTCTCAGTGCTATATCACCTTGGCAGTGTGGAAACCTCAGGAGAGACAGGCTGTCCCCATAATCACTGGGAGTGGGTAGCTGGTCTTCTGGGTGATTCATTTCATGGGTTCAGCACTGCTGAGACTGGGCCATGAGAGGCAGGAGCAGAGAAACACGGCCCTCGCACAGAAGGTCAAAATTAATGAACTTTAAGCCAACATTTTTAGTGCCTGCTTTAGGGACAGCATCTGCCAGACACAGGGCAGCTTGCAGAACCCTTTGTCAGTGTACCCCACCATCTTTGTTCAACACAAGGCCCTGGTGCCTAGTTCTGTGGCTGAGGAGGGGACCAAGTCTTGGCATTGCATTGGCATTCGAACACACATCTGTCTCATTCTGCCTTGTCTGGGACCTGAAGTCTGACTTGCCCTCCAGGCATGGTTCTTGGTGTCCAGACTCCAGTTGGGTTCTTGGGGTATTGGATTTCTGTGTGTGTTTCTGTTTGGTTATGGAAGGTGGGAAAGGAAAACAAGGAAACGCAACTGAGGTTGGTCAAAGCAGTCTGCGTCTCAGAGCTGTGCTGCAACCACAGCTTAGCTGGGCTGGGTTGTACAGGGCTGAAGTGTCAGGAATGGGGCTTGGTTGTGCAGGGCTGAGGTACTAGGTGTGGGGGTGGGTTATGCAGGGTTGAGGTGCTAGGTGTGGGGATGGGGTCAGTTTCTTTTTGGCTGTATGAATTCAATAAATTTCCTAAAAGGGAGCAGAGACAAGGCATTTCAGAACATTCTGAAATCTAGAATGGGACGATCTGGTGTGCTAGGAAGGGGTAGGGAGGGAGGTTGAGTTCCTGGCTGAGGGTGATGTGCAACTGGCTGCTGCACTCAGGGCCAGGCGGCTACATAGAGCCCTGTCTGGTCCACTGTTGCTCGCCTGAAGTTCTCGCCTGGAGTCGCCATGTGTCCTGGCCGACCCTGGTATAGTCTTGGCTCCTGGGGCAGAAGAGTGTTGCCAGCCCTTGCTAACCTATGCTTCTTTGTGTCTGCAGCATCCTGGCCACGGCGGGCACCCATTTCAACACTCATGTGGACCTGAGGACGCTGCGTGCTGTGCGTGTACTGCGGCCCTTGAAGCTGGTGTCCGGTATCCCCAGTGAGCATCATGAAGCCCTGTGGATGCAGCTTGACCGGAGGCTGGGGGTGGCAATGGCTTGCAGCTATGGAGCCTAACATTCCACTCTCAAGTCTCACCTTCCTGTCAGATCTAAAAGATGACAGGAGATCCTCACATGAAACTTGCAAAGTAAAATAATTAGAATGAGAAAAGCAGTGCCTTGAAGTCACTGTCAGCTTAGATTTTGTTGGTTTCTCCCAATGCCTGTGCATAGCATTGAATCATTGTGTGCATGCAACCGTTATTTCCAGACCTTAAACATGCCTGTAGTGTCATATTAATTCAGAAGATTTGTGTTGCTGAACAATGTAAAAAGTGGGGTTATTTCCAGTGCTCTCCAGCTCTGAGTAGAACTGCCCCCAGATGACTCTTTGCTTAAGTCTTCACTCAAGTTCTGAGTGTCCTTCAGGCAGGGTTCTAAGAAGTACAGTGTCAGGCTCAAAGGGGATGTTTTCTGCTCAGAAGCCTAGGTGGGGACAAAGTATAGGGACTGTTCTAGGACAGTTCAGATATTGAGATCTGGCAGAGGCCTCCAGAAGACAACAATGAGTGTGGCAATGAGGGGGCTGGAGTAGGTGTGAGATGTGGCTTCATCCTGGTGTGAACACTGACCTCCTACCAGAGCCCAAGCTTTGCTCCCATCCACCGTCTCATGGATGCTGCCCTAGTCCTGCAGAGGATGCTCATGTCCACTCTGAAGGCCACAGTGCCCCTGTGGTGCTGAGATGTCCTGTCCCTTCCCCTAGGCCTGCAGATTGTGCTGAAGTCCATCATGAAGGCCATGGTGCCCCTGCTGCAGATTGGCCTTCTGCTCTTCTTCGCCATCCTCATGTTCGCCATTATTGGCCTGGAGTTCTACAGTGGGAAGCTGCACCGCGCCTGCTTCGTAAACAATTCAGGTTGGCATTCTCCACTCCATTCCACTCCTCCTACCTGATGGGTCCTTTCTGGGCATTTTGGGGTGTCCATGCAGGGGCCCTCCTCAGTTGGCAGTTGTGCATTTCAATGGTGGGGAGGCCTCTTGGGACCTGTCAGGGCCCTCAGCCAGTAAAGCCAGGACATTTCCCTCTATGCCTGCTCCCTGTGTGACCCACATGCTCAGAGTCTGTTGTGGAAAGTGGCCTGGAGGTGGTCAGGGCATACAGGCCCCCTGGCCTACTCTTTCAGGGCCCCTTGCTGGAGTGGCTGGATGGTGCCATGAGGAATGGCGTCTGGGCTATAGTTGTATGGGAATGCTGTTTATAGGACTCCCACACTGCAGTTATACCTTATCCAATTGAAAATAAGAACTTGTGATGAAAATAGGACTTTACCACTGTTAAAAACCTCCCCTTAGCCCAGGGAAAGCTGAGATTCTCCAAGAATCTGAAATTACAAAATCAGATTCTGGCTGCCACTGAGGCTGTTCCCAAGGACTGTGGAGGGAGGGGCTGCAGAAGGGTATGGGAGGCATGTGGCCATGCCAGGGTTACTGCATCTCACAAGACACTGGAAACTATGGGGAGAATCAGGGCAGCAGGAGTATCAGGGAGGCATGGTAGGGCTGCTCCCACAGCAAGGTTGTAGTCACTCGTTGTCTCCATCAGGAAGACTATCTGTGGTCACCTGAGTAACGTCCATCAGGAAGACTTTTTCTGGTCGCTGAGTCACATCCATCAGGAAGACTTTTTGTGGTCCCTGAGTCATGTCCATCAGGGAGACTGTATGTGGTCTCTGAGTCATGTCCTTCAGGGAGACTGTGTGTGGTCACCTGGGTCACGTGCATCAGGGAGACTGTGTGATCACCAGGTCACGTGTATCAGGGAGACTGTGTGGTCACCTGGATCATGTCCTTCAGGGAGACTGTGTGGTCACATGGGTCATGTCCATCATCAAGAGACTGTGTGGTCACCTGGGTCACGTCCATCAGGGAGACTGTGTGGTCACTTGGGTCGCGTCCATCAGGGAGACTGTATGTGGTCTGTGAGTCACGTCCATCAGGGAGACTGTGTGGTCACCGGGTCACATGTATCACGGAGAATGTGTGGTCACCTGGATCATGTCCTTCAGGGAGACTGTGTGGTCACATGGGTCATGTCCATCATCAGGGAGACTGTGTGTGGTCACCTGGGTCATGTCCATCAGGGAGACTGTGTGGTCACTGGGTCATGTCCATCAGGGAGACTGTGTGGTCACTTGGGTCACATCCATCAGGGAGACTGTGTGGTCACTTGGGTCATGTCCATCAGGAGACTGTGTGATCACCAGGTCACGTGTATCAGGGAGACTGTATGTGGTCACCTGGGTCACATCCTTCAGGGAGACTGTGTGTAGTCACATGGGTCACGTCCTTCAGGGAGACTGTGTGTGGTCACTTGGGTCACATCCATCAGGGAGACTGTGTGGTCACTTGAGTCACATCCATCAGGGAGACTGTGTGGTCACTGGGTCACGTCCATCAGGGAGACTGTGTGGTCACATGGGTCACGTCCATCAGGGAGATTGTGTGGTCACTGGGTCACGTCCATCAGGGAGACTGTGTGGTCACATGGGTCACATCCTTCAGGGAGACTGTGTGTGGTCACTGGGTCATGTCCATCAGGGAGACTGTGTTGGTCACCTGGGTCATATCCATCAGCGAGACTGTGTGTAGTCACTGGGTCACGTCCATCAGGGAGACTGTGTGATCACCAAGTCACGTGCATCAGGGAGACTATATGTGGTCACCTGGGTCATGTCCATCGGGGATACTGTATGTGCTCTCTGAGTCATGTCCTTCAGGGAGACTGTATATGGTCACCGGGTCATGTCCTTCAGGGAGACTATATATGGTCACCGGGTCATGTCCTTCAGGGAGACTGTGTGACCACCAGGTCACGTGCATCAGGGAGACTGTGTGTGGTCACCGAGTCATGTCCATCAGGGAGACTGTGTGGTCACCGGGTCATGTGATCAGGGAGACTGTGTGTGGTCATTTAAGTCATGTCCTTCAGGGAGACTGTGTGTGGTCACCAGGTCACATGCATCAGGGAGACTGTGTGTGGTCACCTAAGTCATGTCCTTCAGGGAGACTGTATGGTCACATGGGTCATGTCCATCATCAGGGAGACTGTGTGTGGTCACTGGGTCACGTCCATCAGGGAGACTGTGTGGTCACATGGGTCACGTCCTTCAGGGAATCTGTGTGTGGTCACTGGGTCACGTCCATCAGGGAGACTGTGTGGTCACATGGGTCACGTCCATCAGGGAGATTGTGTGGTCACTGGGTCACGTCCATCAGGGAGACTGTGTGGTCACATGGGTCACATCCTTCAGGGAGACTGTGTGTGGTCACTGGGTCATGTCCATCAGGGAGACTGTGTTGGTCACCTGGGTCATATCCATCAGCGAGACTGTGTGTAGTCACTGGGTCACGTCCATCAGGGAGACTGTGTGATCACCAAGTCACGTGCATCAGGGAGACTATATGTGGTCACCTGGGTCATGTCCATCGGGGATACTGTATGTGCTCTCTGAGTCATGTCCTTCAGGGAGACTGTATATGGTCACCGGGTCATGTCCTTCAGGGAGACTATATATGGTCACCGGGTCATGTCCATCAGGGAGACTGTGTGATCACCAGGTCACGTGCATCAGGGAGACTGTGTGTGGTCACCGAGTCATGTCCATCAGGGAGACTGTGTGGTCACCGGGTCATGTGATCAGGGAGACTGTGCGTGGTCATTTAAGTCATGTCCTTCAGGGAGACTGTGTGTGGTCACCAGGTCACATGCATCAGGGAGACTGTGTGTGGTCACCTAAGTCATGTCCTTCAGGGAGACTGTATGGTCACATGGGTCATGTCCATCATCAGGGAGACTGTGTGTGGTCACTGGGTCACGTCCATCAGGGAGACTGTGTGGTCACATGGGTCACGTCCTTCAGGGAATCTGTGTGTGGTCACTGGGTCACGTCCATCAGGGAGACTGTGTGGTCACATGGGTCACATCCTTCAGGGAGACTGTATGTGGTCACCTAAGTCATGTCCTTCAGGGAGACTGTATGGTCACATGGGTCATGTCCATCAGGGAGACTGTATGTGGTCACTGGGTCACGTCCATCAGGGAGACTGTGTGGTCCCTGGGTCACGTCCAGTAGGGAGATTGTGCCCCTTCCACATGTGCCTGCAGGTGTTCTGGAAGGATTCGACCCCCCTCACCCATGTGGCGTGCAGGGCTGCCCGGCTGGTTACGAGTGCAAGGACTGGATCGGCCCCAACGACGGAATCACACAGTTCGACAACATCCTCTTTGCGGTGCTCACCGTTTTCCAGTGCATCACCATGGAGGGCTGGACCACCGTGCTGTACAACGTGAGGGGCCAGTCGGGTTGTGTGTGTGTGTGTGTATGTGTCACAAGGAATGGTGCCCCCTGAGCACCCTCAATTGTGCCTCTCAGACCTGTACTGGGCCCATCTGAATGGGGCAAAGGAGGGGCTGCCTGTACCAGCCAGAGAAGGGGCCCAGCCCAGTTACCATCCATGATGTCTGGGTGTGTTGGTTCACTTGATGTCAGCTGAAAGGGTGAGGGCTGGAAATGTCCACCAGCCCTCCTTGTGATCCTATGGTCACTGTGTTGGGACCCACTTGGCTCAGGTCATCTGATGGCCACTGAGCTGCACTTCTGCACATTCCCAGCAGGAAGGTCTGGCAGGTGTGTGGACAAGGCTGTTTAGGACAAAAACTGCACAGGGCAATCCTGAGGGCTTCCCGAACTCCTGGAAGCAAGGTCCAGAGTGAGATGGGAGAAATGCAGGTGCTTCTGAGGACCGAGCCCTCACAGGCCTCATGGTGGCCATCTCTCTCTCCCATTGAATGGCCCAGTTTGGACAAATAATTCTGCCTGCCCATTCTTTTGCACCCTCCATATAACTCCCAGTGGGTAGGGCACAGAGTGCACACCGTGGGCTAGGAAGTGAGCTGGGCCCAGGTGGCAGTGCCTGCAGAGCTGGGGCTGTGTGATGCATGTTCTCATGTTCTCCCCAAGGCAGGGCAGGACTGAGACACTCTGCAGCAGAATGGCAGCCAGTGAGTGTGAGGAGGGAGCTGGGCTCCGTGTGGCCCAGGGATCCTGGTGTTTGCATCTGCCCCAGCTGAGCAGCAGTGGGAGGCAGGAGCAGGCTGCAAGGTCACTAGCACCTCATTACATGCTGGTGCTCATATTAGCAGCCATGTGTCTGGGCTGTGGAGGGTTTTGATGGGAAGGGGACAATGAGGCAGGTAGGAGAAATGTGTCTGGAGGCACTGGTCCCTGGGGTGAAGAGCACAGGGGTAAGGTGTGGCCAGGAGGCTGGCAGGAAGTGAGGTCATCAGGCAAGGGTGAGGGAAGATATGAGTGGATCTCCAGGAGACCATGGAGGGGAAGGTACTTGGCTGCAGGTGGACCCCGGGACTCATTTGAGCTCCTTATGGTGCTGCTGGGACATCTGCATGTTCCTGGGCCAGTGTGGACTCCTGTGATGCTGTTCTCAGGGACGTCCCCACGTTCCTGGGCCCGTGTAGGCTCCTATGTTGGTGCTGACTGGGACATCCCCAGATTCCTGGGCCTGTGTGGGATGGTGTTCTCTGGGACATCCCCATGTTCCTGGACCCGTGTGGGTTCCTGTGATGCTCTTCTCTGGGATGTACCCACGTTCCTTGGCCCGCATGAGTTCCTGTGATGTTGTTCTCAGGGACGTCCCCATGTTCCTGGGCCCAAGTGGATTCCTGTGATGCTGCCCCAGGATGAGCCTGCACTTGTATCTGGCTAAAGTAGGTGCAGGCTGTGTTATCACTGGCCAAGCACCATCAAATGAACGGTTGTGCCCAGGTAAGGTGCCTGCTAAGAGATTTGGGCAGCACTTTTCAGCCCCTCTCCCATGACATACTTGAATCTGTGAAGTAGCTTGAGAAATCTGCTTGTCCAAGAGAAGGGTTGATTTCTGTTCTGATAACTGAGTCCAGCCCAGTAGGAACAGCAGGGATATGTAGCATGTGCATTGTGTGTGTGTGTGTGTGTGTGTGTGTGTGTGTGTGTGTGTGTGTGTGTGTGTGTGTGTGTGTGTGTTTGCCTGCTTATGTATGCCTGTACCCCCAGGTCACCAACACCTGATTGCACCTGGCTCCAGGTTGCCCTGGCCTGGATTATTCCCAGTTCTTTCCCCAGGTGCAGATCTGGGTGGTTCCACCTTACACCCATGGGAACTCCCTGGCTCACACGCTTGAGCTCGCTCATTCTCTTTTAAGGTAATTTGAGCCATCTGAGAGAGATAGGGAATGTTTCTGTCAGGTGGCTCCTTTCTCAAGGACATGCATCAGCCAGGGCTGGGATTGCAACCAAGTTGTCTGTGTGGATAGCAAGAACCTGAGTCCTTTAGCTATCATCTGTTGCCTCCCAGAGGCTGCATGAGCAGGAAGCTGGATTGGAAGCAAAATCAGAACCCAAACCTAGATCCTGTGATATAAATGAGAAGTTCTTTTTTTAAGGATTTATTTAGGGCATGGTGTGATGGCTCAACAGCTACATCCTTACCTCATAAGTGCCAGGATCTCATATGGGCATTGGTTCATGTCCCATCTGCTCTATTCCCCACTCAGCTCCCTGCTTGTGGCCTGGAAAAGCAGTGGAGGATGGCCCTAAGCCTAGGATCCTGTGCTTGGCTTCAGATCTGCTCAGCTCCAGCTGTTGCGACCACTTGGGGAGTCAACCAATGGATAGAAGATCTTTCTCTCTGTCTCTCCTACTCTCTGTAAATCTGATCTGCCTTTCCAATAAAAATAATAAGTAAATCTTTAAAAAAAATGTTAAAGGGATTTATTTGAAAATCAAGGTTAGGAGACAGAGATCTTCCATCTACTGGCTCACTCCCAAGATGGCTACAGCAGTCAGCAGTGAGCCAAGCCAGAGCTAGGAGCTAGGAGCTTAGTCAGGGTATCTCATGTAGGTACAGGGGCCCAACACCTCGGCCATCATCCATTGCTTTCCCTAGGCCACTAGCTGGGAGCTGGATTGGAAGTGGAGCAGCTGCAACATGAATTGGCACTCATATGGGATGCTGGTGTCTCAGGCAATAGCCTTACCAGTTACACAGTGATGTGTGCAACTGTATTACATCCCCCAAAGCTCTTTTGAAAGGAGTCCCTCAATACCTCCTCACAACATCCACTCCTTGGACTCCCATTGTCCACAAGAGAGAGTGGGTTACCTACCTCATGGAGAGGCAGAATCATTGACTCAGAATAAGAAACTGATACGATGTCTGGCTGGGGAGTGTGGCTTTCACTGATCATTGGGGAAGTTGTCACAGTGCAGTGACAAGGACTGCCAGGGATTTGAGGTGCAGACCCTGCACCTTGCCCTGGGCAGCAGGTCTGTGAGGACCTCACATTTCCCTGACACATGCCCACTCAGCATCTCCCTCTTAGATACCACTTCTCTTGCCCTGCAGAGGTCAAACTGGGTGCCAGAGCTGCTTGGTGTTCTCCAACCCTAGCTTCCATTCTGTCCTCTAACAGCTGCAGAGTGTGAGGTTGTGAATGTGATCGTATTCCAGGGTAAGCCAGTCTGTATGCACCTAAGCCGTATGGTGTGCCCAGGTGCTGCTGGAGCGAGGCCCTTGGCAGTTCATTCCACCCTAGTGACCAGTCCTCTGCTGTGAGGGCAATGATTGAGGTGTTGCACCTCAGGCGTAGGCGTCTCTGGAGGGACTCAGTGAGTGAATGCTGGACAGTGGGAATGCTGACAGTGGGCAGGAGGTGCCGTACATATTATAGATGATGTGGTGCTGTAGATGATATAGGTGTCTTGGGTGCAGTAGATGTTGTGGGTGACATAGGTGCTGAGAGTTATGGATGCTGTGTGGTTGACACTGTAGGATCTGTGTGGTTGATGCTGTAGGTGTTGTGTGGTCAGTACCGTTGAAGCTGTGTGGTTGACATTGGTTGACACTATGGATGATGCTGTGGGTACTGTGTGATTGATACTGTGAATTCTGTGTGGTTCGTGCTGTGGTTGACAATGTGTGGTTGATGCTGTGTGGTTCATGCTGTGATTGACACTGTGGTTGACGCTGTGGTTGATGCTGTGATTGGCACTGTATGGTTGACACTGTGTGGTTGATGCTGTGGTTGACAATGTGTGGCTGACACTTTGTGGTTCATGCTGTGGGTGCTGTGTGCTTAGTACTGTGGATACTGACTGACTGTCATTACTGCTGAGTCATGTTTTCCTGCCTTGCTCCCGTAAGTAGCTTCTTCCCATAACTGGTACAGGAGAACACAAAGACCAGTGGGAAGAAGGAATGTACTTACTTCAGTGTTGGTGGAGGATTCTGTAAAATTTCAGAGTATTTTAAGGTTGCACCTAGTCTCCTTGGCTACAGCCCTGGGCCTGAAATGCCAATCAAGATAACTGGCCTGGGCAATCCCAGGTACATAGGGCCTTGAAAAAGTGAGGGAAAGGCTGGTGTCACCTGTGATGCTGGGGCATCGCTCATGGGAAGATGTCTTTATCTGATTCCCTTTCTCTTCTGAATGCCCTGAGTTACCAAATCCTTAAAATGCTTGTACCTTCTGTGACTGGACCTTACACTTTCCACTTGTTAATGAAATTTCATGCCACTGTAAGGGTCAGGAGTACACAGTGGGGCCACTTTTTAATAAATAGGTGGATAAACTGCTGTGTCAATATTGTCAGCAACCCAATGGCATGGGTAGTCATGTTGTCCTATCACAAGGTTCTTATGGTACATAAAGCCACAGAAGAAAGCTGTGAGCCCTCACACACACACACACATAGCGAGGCTGTGAGCCCTCATCACCCTCACGTGTGAGCACACACACAGTGAGGTTGTGAGCCCACATCACCCTCACGTGTGAGCACACACACACACAGCGAGGCTGTGAGCCCACATCACCCTCACGTGTAAGCACACACACACAGAGTGAGGTTGTGAGCCCACATCACCCTCACGTGTGAGCACACACACACACAGTGAGGTTGTGAGCCCACATCACCCTCACGTGTGAGCACACACACACACAGCGAGGCTGTGAGCCCACATCACCCTCACGTGTGAGCACACACACACACAGCGAGGCTGTGAGCCCACATCACCCTCACGTGTAAGCACACACACACACAGTGAGGTTGTGAGCCCACATCACCCTCATGTGTGAGCACACACACACACGGCGAGGCTGTGAGCCCACATCACCCTCACGTGTAAGCACACACACACGGCGAGGCTGTGAGCCCTCATCACCCTCACGTGTGAGCACACACACAGTGAGGCTGTGAGCCCTCATCACCCTCACGTGTGAGCACACACACGGC